ATATTCTGTGTGTGCTGAAGGCCATTCTGAATTTTTCCTGGAACAATCAGAAACGTGGAAAGTTTGGTAAAGATTTTTAGTTTTCCCTCAGTTTGTGCCACTACTTCAACTACTGCAGATAATTCCTATCAAAGTTCTTAAGGTAAAAAATCACATTACAGAAAAACAACAATCACTCAAATCTGACTTCATTTTTGTGGAGAAGGAAGTTGCACTGAGTTTTCTTCAGAGGTGTTTGTGTCATTTCCTTCAGTGGTTCATGGTGCAGCGCCCCCACAGGAGAGGAGGGGAACAGGTTACTCAAAGGGTTTGGTTGGTTTGTGAAAGTGAAACCAGTGGCTGGAAATGTTCCTAATCGAACCGAGTCTACCAGGCTACCAGGTGTGAAAAAGCTTAAAATAGAAAAATGTAATGAATGTATTAATAACTAACTGCACTAACAACTCTTAACATTTTAAATGACTGTCCATTGAAAAATTTTACAAGTTTCTTAAATTACTACGGCAGAGTTCACAAACAATGTGTCCGGGATTTTAATTTTTTGTAGGGCAAAATTTGTGAACAACAAACATTATGGGCTTTGTATTTTCTTTCTGTTGTGAAGAAATCTCTTTCATGTGGCCATATCTATAGTAAGTAATGTTTATGTATGTCCCTATTCCAAAACACCTGATTAAATGGGCGAATGAAGTCCTGCTAATGAATTACTTATCTGATTAAGTTGTTTTAGATTTCCATTAATAAGTTGCTCTTTAGTTCTTGCTGGATATTTGATCACTCTTCTTCTCAGCAGTGGTTTTATTTTAGGGCTCCTGCAGGGGAAACTTTAATCCAGCGCTGACATTCCTGAAAACATGACCAAAACTCACAATGAAAAAACACATTGTGCAACTTGCTAAAAGAGTCCAGACACAGATGAATGGATGAACGTGTTCATTTGATCCTCCATGTCTAATTTTAAATCTGTGGATTTGTGAAAAATGTCAATACATTCAAACTCATGTTTCATATCTTGCTTTGGATCCATTGTTGTACGGTGTGTTGCTGTTGCACTCAGAAAAAGGAATGACTCAAATAAATCCTGAAAATGAATCTGACAGTCATGTTGTGTGCTGCTGTGTTTGTATCTGGTGTTCAGATGAGGCTTTCTGTTGTGTCTGGTCACTGTTTTTAACCGTCAGCGTCTCCAGTTACTGCCTGATGCCAGCATCAATCTTCTCCTAACAGTCCATGTTCCAGTCGATCAATATTTTTTGAAAAGATACATGTCTCTAGTTAATATTCTTGGTATGATAGCCCTTACAAAATGGTAGCTGAGTCATAGTTTTCAGCTCATGACGTAAACAATCCCTTTTGGAAAAATTCAGTATTTTGAGCCTGGTGTATTTCTGGTTTAGGTTCATGGAATCGGCATTAAGCTTCAGGTGACCTGCAGCATCTGTCATTTACTACCACATTTCTTTTAACCCAGCAGCACCAGAGAGGAAGTTAACAACTGCAATACTCAACAAACTAAGGCACTGCATTCCTCAAGGGCCAGACTCCTGCAACTTTTAGATGTGTCCCTTGTTATACACACCGAAAGCTGTTGACTAAACTATCTCACCAGCATGCAGTCTGATGAGCAGAGCAGTCTTGGTGCTCTTCAGCCTATTTGCAAATCAGGAACAGTCAGGTAGTTTGCATGTCAGTGGTGCTGGACATCCTCACATACAGTCTAATAAATGGAGAAATTTATAGCAAGATAGGAAGCTATTAGACTAATAAATGCAAGGACATAAACCTCTGCCAGCAGCTGGCTGTATAGACAGGCAGACCATAGTCAGACAGAAAGACAGAGAACTTTATTATCATCATATGCTGATATTAAAATGTATTACTTTGAGTAGCAGAATTGCCAACAAAAAAGTGAAAAATTGCTCAAAGTATAAAAGTATATGGTCAAATAAAAATAAATATTTAAGAGGAAAAATATGTAAATGTATAACTTTAAAAGTCACTGAATTTATATGTCCACTAGGACATATAATCAGTTTTTAATATATAATAATTCTTTAGGATCTTCAGGATTATACTGTACCTACATAAAGGTGCAGTACGCAACGTACATTAAAACGAATATTTTTTACTTCGTTAAAATTATCACTATGTCCTAAAAAGACGAGCTGCTTCTGCCTTCTCCCTGCTGTCATCTGAACAAATATTCTGCTGTTTCAGACACAACCAATCAGAGCCAGGAGGAGGGTCTTAGCGCTGTCAGTCATCTTCATAGCCAGGTTTTCTTGGAACATGAAGTTACTTCTTCACCATCAGCATATTTAGAAGCATGATTGACAGCGCTAAGACCCTCCTCCTGACCGGGTGTTTTTGACGCACAATAATGCAATTTTTATTCATGAATTAAATATACTTTGTAAAAATGATCATGGCAGTAACTGCGTTTTCATTTGTAATGACCATAAAACCTTTCCAATATTCTGCAGAAGTTGAAATAAGACAATTTCACAATTGTGGTGTTTCTATAAATAAGAAATGCAAATAAAACCTCATGTGAATAAGTTTTCTCATGTGATATGTCATTAAAACACATGCCACACCATGATCCTCCAACCACCATTTTGTCATTGTCTTCTTTGTCGTTTCCACCAGTAGAAACAGCCGGTTGTTGATCATGTGATGTGAAAAAAGTGTTTTATGGAAAAATAAAAGAACACAATTTCAAAACAGCATAAAAACTGCCACATCTCCGACCCTTTCCAAAACATCTTTATCAAAAATATATATATTTTTTTAATTAGCGTGTTTTGATTAAGCAAATTTACTTTCAAAATGTCAAATTACACAAATTTGACATTTGTGACCAGAAGGTCATAGGAAACACAGCCACTGCAAAGTGAAATATTCCTGCTGGTTTTTCATGCTGGTTTTGTTTAATTGAACATAAAACACAGTGGCTGCTGGCAGACTTGAACATTGTGTGTAAATATTTCCTGTAGTGTATTTTTATTTTGACTTTAATGAAATATGTCAACCTCACCCTGCTGTGCACTAATTTGGAAGCTGTTCCTGCTCTGGAAACTTTTTTTTTATTCTGAATGCAAATAATTTTTAAAATTGTGTTTCCAGGTTGTTAGATAAAAAAAAACTGATTTAATTAGATTGAGTGGATTTTTTTCTACCGATTTTAGCTTATTTAGCTTAGTTGATCTGAACAAAAGAACATATTTGTTTTCCTCCATTGTGAAAGTGTTGCAGAGTGAAGCAACAAACAGTTTCAGATGTTGTTCAATTGTCCGCAGTCATAACTCAGATTACATCGCCCCCCTGATGGGACAGTGACTGATGCACTAACGTGATGTAGAGTCTCAAATGGAGCGCTGGAAAATAATTTCTCCCTCTCTTCTGGCCAATGATGTTACCGAGAACTGCTGCAAAGCAAAATCAGATCTTTTCCCAAAGAACACATCATCTCATAACAGACTTCACGAGTTTTCTCTTACAGCAGAAAATCTCATCGGAGCGAGTCATATTCCCACAAAACATCTCTGGTTCATGATGATCACAGCTCTGTCCACCCAGATCCATACAAACACACTCAGCCTGGTCTGCAGAGTTTAGCCTCACATATGTGATTTACACACATTTAGCCTGCAGTTACAACATCTTATCTGAGCTCTCAAATTGCTTTTCCTTGGCGAGTCGGCCACTCAGGCCTCTAATTGCTAATTCTGTCAGTTTAATTAAAGTTCAAAAATACAGGAGCCTCTTTAAAGCAGCCGAGCATATCTGTGGGTGAATCCCTCATGAGGGGGAAAAAAAATAAATAAATCTGTGGGCCGCCTACAGTTTCTTTCTGCTTTAGTCTTGAATTTGCCCTCAGTGTTTTGCTGCACCTTTTGCTGCTCGGGGTTTTAAAATCCGGGTCAAAACGCAAAAGTTGTGGGGATCTGTTCCTCCTGAGCTTCTGCGGGACATGAAAAGAAAAGCTTGCAGCATTTTTCTGTTAAATGAAACCCTTTTCGGCATTTTTAATGAACTTGCCACTGGCAAGGTAGACGACTTCTCTAGATTTCTTTGCTTAATCATAATTTATTTATTTCCACTTTTGCCATAAGTTCTTCTCCTTTTTCTTTTTCTATATGTCTTTGTATAACTCTTTCAAGTCATCCTGGCTTTGATTGTTTGTCTAGTGAGGAAAGTAAACCTACAACCTAAAGCCCCAAGTGTAAAACCCACTTGCTGAAAGAAAGAAAAGTGGATTCAATCTTCAAATAAGCTGAACGCTGTTTGCTTTCCAAATGTGCTCATCTCTCTGTCTTCCTCTAATCTGAAAGTATTTCTGATCCTCAGAATAAGCTTGCAGGGCCCAGATTTTCCCCCTGAAGCAGAAAATTCACCCGGTGTGTGAGCGAGTTGAGGTTCTGACCGGAGAACGTATGCAGGGCTGCAGTGCAGAGAAACCTTCGAGGATACTCCACCATCACTAAATAAAGAAAAGGGGGAAAAGCAGTTGCAGTGAGCTTCGACTTTAGTACAAATAGTTCCCTGCAAAAGTTTACAAGCCCTTCACCTTTTTTCTTTTTGTTTATTTTATTTAATTTTTTTGTTTTTTACAGTCTTTTTTACTTTACATCTCCAAACCCAGTTCAAGGGTCTGTAGCCTGCAGTCCAAACAGCAATTTCTGCCCTTTTCTATTATTCTCCAGTTTGCATTATTCACTGTTATTTCTTTGTGACAGTTGCTCATACTGACCCAGGTTCTGGTTCGGCTGGAGGTTTCATCCTGTTGAGTTTTTCACTCCACTGTCGCCACATGCATGCTCAGCTGTTAACTCAATCACATAATGAAGACAAGCTGAGTAGATTTTAACCAGAACTTTTTCAATCTGCCCTTAAAATGTACATTTTTAAATTATTTTTTTAAGAAATTGTTTCCTTTTCCCAAATCAGAAAGTTCGTGCCACCAGTTGTTTATTTCAAATAACCAACTTTTTATTTAAACTGTGGTTGGACACACATATTTGCTCTCATTTGTTTGTCATTTGTTTTAAGCTTTGGTGAAAAACAGCAATATTCAAACCAATCAGTTTTTGGGGTTCAGAAAATAAACTTTTAAAGACAGAAACACAAATTTCTCCTAAAATCTCGATAAGCAAGTGAATGCATCATAAATCCTAACAGTATTGCTTGTGACTTTGTTGTTACTTTTTCTGTTATCACAGTTAGGAACCTGAAGTCTTCCTGGAATCATCACATGCAAACCTATGACTGCATTTTGAAAGTGTGAGGGCGTAAAGTCAGACACGTGGCTCCACTGTGCATCTCTAAAACTGTGTTTGCAGAAGTACAGAGCATATTTCCAACAGAAACACTCATAAGCGGCAGAGAATATTCATGAAACGGAACCGAAGTTCAGAAATGCGTTATCAAAAGGACCGTGAGGCCATTTCAGCATGCAATTAGAAATATGCAACCCCTGGCAGAGCAGAGGAAGAAGCAGAGAAAAGTCTATGGACTTGGGGAAAGAGAATATTACACAAAGTTTTATATATTTACACTAGTCACATTTCTTCAGGGTGGCTATATCCAAAGGAGCAGCAGTAGGAGAGGAGCCGGTAGCAGCAGAGGACAGAGGCAGCCTGCCGGATGACCCGCGCGGCCTCTTAGAGACTCCTGGTTGATCTCCTGGTTCAGGGAGCCGTGGGGGGAGATGGAGTCTGCTGGGTGGCTGTTCCGGTTGGAGCACATGTCGTACAGGTTCCCAGAGAACTGCATCTTCTTGGACTCCTGGCGAAGAGACTCCCAAACGGCTGCCGCTTCCTCCGGACAGCCAGCCATCGCCACGTTAGCGCAGTCATGAAACTCATCCCAAGACCTGCACTCAGGAAGTAGACAAAGGTTAAAGGTGAATTTCATCTGGTATTTATCACTGACATACAAAACATGTCAAAGATTTTACATCTCTGGCTGAACAGAGCAAATGTCTCTCAGTGAACGACGGCAAAGAAAGACAAGCTATGAATTATTATCAAGTTAAACTTTTTTGTTGTAAGTAGCATTATCTCAGTTATCTGTCTTTGCTGAATGCCAGAACTATGAGTGAAACTTGTTTTGGGGGGAAGAATATTGTAATGACATTCTCCAGCTTTCAGATCCTGCAGCAGGGATTGTGGAAGCAAAGGGGCGGGGCTTATCACATGCCTACAAGAAAGTTGTTGGCTGAATTACTATTGCCATTCCAACCTTTTTTCATGTTGTCTAATTAATAACATTTAATTTTCAATGCTTTACATTACTTTCTGGCATTCAGCAAATGCAAAATAATTATTTTGGGAGAATATGGAAATTCTTTCTCCCGCTTTCTGATGATGCAGCAGGGATTGTTTAATGGAGCGTATTGAAACTAAACCAGAGAATCAGCCTGTGGAAGCTAATAAAAGCTGAATTTTTTGGCTCATATTCTGACTGTTGAAATTAAACAACTGTAAAATGTGTTTCTGTATGAGTGGGCAATCTGGAAAAATCTGCATTGACTTTCTGTTATCTCTGTGTTTACTTATCTTCAAAACACAACATAAAATCAAAAAGTGACTTTTTACAGGAAAAAATGCTGGAGCTAATCAAACAGCTTATGATTTGTTTAGAAGGGGAGAACAAAAGATTATATTTTCTGTTCTGCTGACCTCAGAGCTTCACATCTGCAGCTAGAAATATCTGACTTTAATTGGCTGCTAATTCTTCCCCTCATCATGAAAGTGTTGGATAAACTCTCTCTGAGGAGAGTCAACGAGCTGAGCAGAAACAATCTGTCACAGGGAAATTATTTAGTTCTACAAAAGCTTTAAGTTGGTCTTCGATTGAACGTTTAGGCAAAAATCTTTCAAATGTGGTCACAAAAACTTTATACAGATGTTCCCAGGAGCTTCATTGTGGCATATTTTTATTGAATGAAGAATTGACTCAAATTTTTCTTAATAAATTTCCTCTCAATGCAAAAATGCTTCCAGTTGATTTTTATTCCACAGTAATTCAAGTGGAATGAGTTGATGAGTAAATTTCACCTGCAGCACTTTGATTTATCTCCACAGCCCAAAATCAAACTGAAATCCAGAGCTGAAGTAGAAACCAGAACCTTTAAGCTGCTCCGCTTTGTGCTGGACATCTGTGTGTGATCAAACAGCGCACAGAAACGCACACAAACATTTACCTCTGACAGACTTTACCTCACATCTGTTCTCCCTACCCTCATCCTTCTTAAGCTCACATACCTGCGCCTCTGCACAAGCATCTTCACCAGATTTAACAGCCTGAGTGCCGCCGATGTAGCTGCATGGTGGCTTTTATCCAAGACTTAGACACTCCTGAGGTCCGGCTCCTGCTGCAGCTGGAGGGCAACTGTTTACCCGAGCCGAGCGAGGAGGCATCTGGCTTTAGTCTGTGCAGCCATCAGGGTGCAGACAGAGTGTTTGCAGGGGGAAACGTGATGGAATCCCATTCAGCAGGGGATATTTTTTCCTGTCTGCAGGTCTGAGATGTTTCCTCAGATGGACACAGGTGGTGCAGAGACAGCAGAAACTCAGTGAGGACACTGACAGACAAGCAGCTGCTTTCACAGTAATAAAACCTCCAGAGAGAACGTCTGTTCCGCTGCGAACGTCCTGCTGCTGCTGCTGCTGCTGACATCCAAAAAATGCTCAAAGTCTCAGCTCACTATGTCTTCTGCTGGAGATTTTTTAGATCACCTCGAGCTTTTGTAGCTCAGTGTGACAACGTAGCATTAAAATATGTTACACATCCAGATACATGACGCTGTAATGACATGGTAGGTACGAATCAGAAAAAAGGGTGTTCTGCTCTGCAGAGACGATCTGAACCCTGACAATCGGCTTCATGTGAGACGGATAAACCGCAGCGCAGCTTCTCAGCCTTAAAAGCCACAATCTGACAGTTTTACCTGTTTTAAAATTGAGGTTTACAACAAAACTGACACTGGTGCAACATTTTTCCTGATATGGAGCAGTTGCTCATTTGAAGCTACAACAAGGTGCTAAAAAGTTTATCTTGCTGTGATAGATAAAAAGCATTTTTATACAAATGCTAGAGAAACCGCAAACTGGTCAAACATTAATCTGCCTGCTTGAAACATCGATTGACGCACTTGTTTCCATGCACTGCTGCTTCTCATCTTTTTATAAAGACCCAGCTATGTGTGTACAATGCCTGACTTTCAGAAATCATTTTTATTGATATAAAAACACATTTTTTATGTGAATGAAAGGCCAAAATGCATAAAGTTTATTTATTTTCCTAGACATCCTGCTGCCTAGGCCGGATGTCGGAGGGTGCCAATAATTGTGGCATTTGTGATTATAACAGTTATTTTTATTGAAAAATGTAAAGCTAAGTAAATGTACTCAAAAAGGTTGAGTTTATCTCAGTTTGTGCACTGAAAGATTCATTTATTTTAAGCTTTTTAACAACTTTTACCCAGGGGAGCCAAGAGGTGGGATTGCTGTAATTCTGTTTTTTATACATATTCATCACAGAAACCATAAAGTGGAGTCATTATTCCACTCAAGGTTGATGAATTAAGAAAAACTAAAAAAAAAAAGATAAAACAACCTTTGGGCCCCAGAGCGCAGCGTGAATTGAGAGAGGAGGAGGGATGAAAAGAATGCAGCTATTCTTGGTAAAGAGTTTGGCAAAGTTTTCATGTTGAAACCAACACTTGAGCTGCTGTGGCCTTCATAGAGGTAACAGGGTTGTCATACTGTAAGGTAAAATAATAAATTCTCTATTTTTTTGCAATTCAAACAAAACACCTGCTCTCCATTTCCCACTGAAGCTCTAACAGTTTAGGTTTTAAACGTCTCTGCATGCAGACAGAAGCCCTGCAGACTCATAATCACATTTTTTTTATTGGGGATTTACGTTAGACTAAAAGCTGTGAAAAATATGTCTAAATAAATCGATGCGATAAGTAGTGATGGATGCTGAACTTTCAGATGTTTTGGCCTCTTTATCTGGCTCCAGTTCAAACTGCTGCATCCCTGAAGAGTTGTGAACCTGAAAGGGACTTTAAACTGAGGCAGGAATTGAAATGGAGAGCAGCGCGGTGAGGAGCAACAAAAGCATGAATGGCTTTATCGAAATCTGCAGAGAATAGCAACATAAAAGCAAGCAGAGGTGCAGCAGAGGGAGAAGATGGAGTAAAAGAAAACTCAACCTTGTATGGGAGGTTTTCTGATTACACCCAGAGTTCTGCCTTTATTTGTGTGACCGTAGCCAAGGAAACAAAAGTTACATTTCCACCTTTTCAGCTGTTAATACTTTACAAATACTTTGACTGAAAGGTTATTAGTTTGCTCCATTTGGTATCCTGACATTTTAATAAGAAATTTTTAAGACTTTTTATTATAACTACATCAAATTGTTCTGAACATTCTTTGATGGGCTGCATATTTCTTATGAGATGATTTGATATTTATCCATCAACAGAAGTCTTTGCTCCTCAGTAATGAGAAGGTAATTTGGATTCCAAGATTGATCGTATGTATTTTAAATGAGCAGATTTTAATGACAGGGGTGAAAATATTTACTTGGCTTTATGTAATGGACTCAGGAACAGCACAAGGTTGTTTTATATCATTTTTATCCAACAAATTTCACTGCATGTTGCTGGAAAATCTTCCTTGAACGCTTGTTTGTAATGGAGTCCCACAGGGCTGAGTGCTTGGACCACTTCTCTTTAAATTTTCATGCTAGTGATGCTCAGTCATGTTTCTCCGAACTGAAACCAGCAACACCAGAAGCGTGTTTTGGAAATTTAAAGTCCAAACGGTCTGCCTCTCCACAACATTTAAATCCCATCTTAAAACTCATGTTTTCCCCCAGGCTTTTCACACTAAGTGAGATTTTAAATGTTTTGTTGCTATTTATTTATCTGATTCTTCTTTAATTGCTCATAATTTATGTAATTATTCAGCTATTTTATCTCTTTTTAATCTGTTTTTGTATTTTGTTTTTAGGATTTTCTTGTCTGTACAGCATTTTGGTCCTCTGTGTTTTTTTAAAGTACTTTATACATAAATCTGGATTGGATACAATTACTTTTTGAGTCAAAGAATGAGGAATGCACTCGACAAAATGCAATGGTTTTTTTTTGCAGTTATTGCCTGTTTGTTGTGTTTGTGATTTATTTTCATGTTTTCATGACGTAAAGCTCTTTGATCTGCCTTGTTGATAGACCGATCCGAGCAGAGCGGAGACCACTCCAATAACAGGAAGCGGACTAAAGCACAGGGCATTCTGGGTAAAATAACTAAAGCAGACGCTCCTCCAATTAACCAGACTTTCTAGGCAAACTGGAATTTGATTAAAGCAAAGAAGATTTGACTCAGAGTAAGTTAGATCTAGTTTACAAAAACAGGAAGTTGAGAAGCTGAATAGTTGAGGCGGATCCAAACCAACAGAAAACAAAAACTGTAGTTATTTTGCATTATGTCTGAAGCCATGCCGTTTATAACAGCAGGATAATATATCTGGTAAAACCTGGAGGGGATGAAGGATGCAGAAAACATAAAGTGGTTTCTATTCTTTCCTTTTAAAGTTCCTCCTTAGGATTCAGCGAAAGGTTACTGTTTAATTCTGCCGCATCTTTTTTTCCCTCAGTATGTTTAGCCTGAAATATTTCCCTTTCACCTCAGCAGATCGACGGTGAACGATTGCAGTTGCATAATGCCTATTGTGAGCATAAGGAATAAAAGCAGTGCTGCACTTCTGGGACGACTCTGACAATGAAGCAGCCTTGGCCTAGATGCAAATCACAGCTTCTTATTCACTGCGCTTTTTGTGCACAAGTACCAAGGAAATGGATGGAGTGTGAGCAACATTTGTGGATCTTTAGAGCGGAGCTACCTTCTCATTAGGTGGCTCTGATGGAAGTGCTAAAGCCATGTTCCTGAGAGGAAAGAAGACGGGATGAGAAGCATGGAGGGGTGGAAGAGAATGAGAGAGAAAGTAAGACAAGGACGCAGTGTGTATGCAGACACGAGAAGTTATTGCTTGTGTGCTACACGCCTGCACATTAGGCAACTCACACTGAGGTGGCTGGGCTGCAGGATTAGTTTAATTGGTACCTCAAGGAATAGAGGAGACTTAACAACAGTGGAGTGGTAGCAGGACGCGGCTGCAGGGCCATGGTGACACAGACACACAGTTACACAAGTTGTTATTGTGAGGAAAGTGTCTTTAAGCAGCGCTGTACTCCCAGCTTTAATCAGGTGTCACCATTAAACCGAGCGCTGCTTCCAAAGTGATGACAGTAAGAGAGTTTTTAAAGCTCACTAATCCACACAGAGATAATTCATGGATAAAACCGAAGAAAGCAGCTCCTTCATGTCCACAACAAGCAGGAGATTTTCTGGCTTCAGAGCCTCGTCACGCATGAAGCCTGATGAGACGTGTCACAATAACCGCCTTCAATAATAATAATGTAAAAAATATGTTTTACAAGATTGGAATCAAAATTTTACAGTCAGACGAACTCTAATGTCTGTAAAGTCAGTCAAAACTTAACAGCAATAATTTTGGTTATTTAGAATGTAATAAGACAAAAATGTGTTTTTTTTATTAGTCATAATTTGAACATGTTATTCATTCATTAGCCACCAAAACACTGAGTGTAAAAGGAAAAATTTAAATACCAATCTAAATTTTTAGCTTGTTAATAAAATATTTTGTATATAACTAAATAATTTGTAAATAAATAAATGATTACTTTGCCAAGACTAAATATTTGTGAAGCTTAATATTTAGTCTTCACACTAATATTTAGTCACAAATTAATTATTTAGATACAAACTCAATATTTAGCTTGCTCATATAACCGCCTGCTAACAAAACATCTTGTTAGCAGGCTAAATAGTTTACAAACTAAACTTTTAACTCCAAACTAAATAATTCATTTGAAGCTAGATATTTATTGAGCAAGCTAAGTATCTAGTTTAAAAACCAAAGATTTAGCTACAAACTAACTATTTAGTTGGCAAGCTAATATGGGAAGTTAAATATTGTGACTACATACAAAACATTTGTTTACCTCCAAACTAAACATTTTGTTTTCAAACTAAATGAACAATGAACAAAGAAACAGTGAACTAAATGAACTAAATGTTTCAAAACTAATGAATCAGTTGCATCAGCAGAAGCTCATATGAAGGTTCATAAGCTTTTATTTTGATACGAACCAAGTGTATGTAAACTTTTAAATTTGAAGAAAGTCACAAATAAATCTCTATAAAAGTTTTCTGGAATTTTGAAATCATTTTGTTGATTCTAACTAACCGGAAACAACAGAGGTTTGTTTCTGATTTAACTTTAAACTATGAGAAAAAATAATTTGGACGTGTCGTTTTACTCTGTGCATGTAAACTTCTGTTTTCAACTGCATGAGCGGCCATTTCTTTTGAAAGAACTGAATATTTAATGGGATGTCCTAATTTTCTGAAATATGACTGTATTTTCATTTTGAACTGGGAATAAATGGGATTCCTCATGAGGAGCCGAGCGCTGCTGGGGGAAAAGTTCACCAGGATTTCCTTCCTGGATCAATTCCCACTGCAGCCGAGTCTCCGATAGGTAACAACAAAAAAATCTATGGATTCAATGAGATAGTTTCAAAGCTCTGCATGATAATTATCTGTGTGCCCAAACATGTTTCTACTTGAATGCCAACTAAATATTCCCAGGAGTGAGGATCCCACCTCCCTGAAGCAAAACCCGAGAGGAATTTATAATTCATCTTCCTGGATGATCTGCAAAACTTCTAATTTCAATCAAATCAAAAAGATAAATGGAAGCAACAAATAAGCAAAATAATTCAAACAGACCGCCACAGGAAACTCTACTCAGAAGAAATTCTTTATGTTTCCCTTAAGGAGGCTTTGTAAATCTGAATTAGCATCTCAGAAAAAATGAGAGTCCTTCCAGGAGTCAGTGACACACAGTGAGCAACAAAAACTCTCTGTGAATTATTACATAACTGTAATCTCTTCATGGAGCGTGCATGAGTCACAATTTCCCTTTTAGTTTTCTTACGGCTCATTCATAATGCAGCGGGAAAGATCGCTGGTCACAATTCCTGCTACGCTTCGCTGAATAAGAAGTTAACCTGTCAGCTTTGCAGCGTATGCGCTTTATCACGGCACAACTGCAGCGTTACGCTTCCTGCAGCTGCATCCGCTCAGCTGGGATGATTAGAAAAAATAACTACAATTTAGTTTGGGTAAAAAGTTTTCCACTGACAGAAACTTTGGAGTTATTAATATCTCCTTTGGAGAATTTCTTTAGAAGATGGATGAGAAAAGTGTGTGTAAATATAGCAGCGAGCCGAGGTGACAGAGAGCGAGGGACGAATGATGGATGGATAAAGGAGATGAAGAGCCGACATATAGGGAGAATAAATGGGAGGCAAGAGAAAATGAAAGAATGTTTAACTGACTCCATCAGACTTCCAGTTTTAACCTCCAGACAGAGAGCAGGAAGTCAGATTAACAGATTATTTCTATTATTTTTATTCCTGGAGCAATTGCTATCATGTTCTTCATCTTTTTTTTATTAAAAGGGAAATATTATCTCTTTTACAGGCTTATGGAATCAGCACAATAAAGTAACAATGTTAACGTCATTTGTTAAAAAATGCTACGTATCAAATATGCCCTAAAACAAATGCTACTTTGTAATTTAACACCTTGAAATTGGGCCTCTGTCCCTTTAAAGCTCTTGCTCTTTCTGAAGCCCCTCCTTCAGGAAGTCATCATAACATCACTCCTCTGTTGACTCTTTAGCAACGATTTCACCTGCATTGCTCTATATGAGCTCAGGAGATGCTCAGTTCATACAGGTGTTTGCTAATTGCTGCTGGCTAGTCTGAAGGAGCAGAGTGGGGGAGGCCTGCTCTGTAAGGCAGAAACTATGACTGTCTGAGGAGGAGCTGCGCCTGGAAGGCGGGGCTAGGTCCACCCAGGCATTTTGCATAGCTGGATGGTTCTAAATCAAAGTGTATTTTTGATGAGGGAATAACATTATTACGTCTTTGTAACTAGATGGTTCAAAAGGTTATAAAATAAGAAACCTTCAATAAAGAAACTGTTTTGATTGTTAGAAATTGTTCAACAAACCCTGAACTTTATTTACAAAACATTTATAACTCTTATTTGAAATAATACAAAAGAAAAAAAAAATCTATATGTGAGTTTCTGGGTTTTGTGAATAATGGAACAATAATCTTTGAAAATAATTGCAGCTCCTGCAAAGGTTTTTGTGTTTGTAAAGCTTTTATTAGACCTTGTTTACTCAATGTTTCAATTTATTTTGGAGGTGAATTCCTGCCATTTTACTACACAAAATTTTTAAATAGCAACAAAAGCAGCACTTGTGCAGAGTCCTTGAAACCTCTCAAGGATTTTTCTGAACCTGAAAACAGAATAAGATCCCTTCTGACAGAAGGTTTGTAGTTTGGTTAAACCGTCTAACTGGCTTCCAGTGTTTGTATCGATACGGCATCACGAGGAAAGAAGGATCAAAGCTTTCTGTAGTGGACAAGACGCTTAAGGAGATGATGTTGCTCCATAAAATTGGACAAATTAGGAAAATAATTATGTCTGTCAGATTAATTGTGCAAGACACAAACTTTGTTCTCATTTATTTAGAAACTGAGAAATATTTATTATTAAAACCTTTTGCGTACACAGAATAAAAACGCAGTAGTTCATCATTTTAAACTTTGTCTTGATTTTATCATGTCAAAAACTTTAAACATCTCAGCAGTTCCACTGAGTCAATAATCATCTGCTTTTTTCAGATTATGGTAGGTTTGATGCTCATCTCCAACTCTCAACACTGGGAATTATGGGTTTCTCTAGAAACAGAGATTTAGAGTAATCTGAGTTTTCTCTGTAATTCATGCTTGTTTCTGAGTGTTGACCTGCAGATGGAGTGGATCTCGTGGGTTTCCTCCTCCTTGCGAGCGTTGTCGGTCAAACTGTCGCCCAGAGCCATCAGGCAGTGAGCAAAGCCTTTGTAGATGGAGTGGCACCTTCTGGTCGAGGCGGCAGCAACGGGACACGGACTCAACACTGGAAACAAAAACACAAGTCAGGTTATTTTATGCAATGAACCAAACAGAAAATCAATCTGAAGCGAGACAAAGTCTGATGGGCTTAATTGATGCCATTCAAAAGCACAATAAAGAAATTTAAATTCTACTGCTTCTAAAAACAAACAAAGCACTTTAAAAAAAACACCCATACAGCTTTTGGTAACAAATTAATGCTTTTTAGTGTCTGGAAAATGAGCCATTTCAAAAACCTATGAAATGCAACGTCAAAAATCAGCAGGCTCTGAACTCCAGCTGTTACCTAGCAACCAAAGCTGAGTTCCAGCACGTTTGGTCAGCTGGTTTTACTGCAATATGTGCTGTACAATGGCTGCTGGAAAATGTAAGACCATTCAGAAACCACTTCCTGCATTCTTGTTCTTGCCATTTTAGCCAACAAAATACTTATTTTCTGACTTGAAAAAGAATTTAATGATTTATTTAATTGGATCTTTTAATATATTTTTCTTATTGTATAGAAAAAGTTCAGGTGGTTAACTAAAAATCTGTATTTTTTATCCAATTAATTGTCAGAATAATTCACATTTACAGCCCTGAGAACAACACAAATCCAATAGCAGCAGTTAAATCAGCCAGATGTAACAAAGTCAACAAATTGTGCAATCATTGCTTGTTTGTCCGCAGCTCATCTGACGGCGTCCCCGTGACAGCACAAGTTAATTAATCTCTAAATTTGCTCTGCACTACATGACAGAACATAACATTTATTTTCTAATTTTCTATCTTTTCATGACATTGAGGAACTGCTCCTGAGTTCTGCATCTTTCATTTTGTTCAGCTATTACCAGCGTCTCTCTGAAGCCCAGAGCTGTTTGTTAAACACGAGATGGAGAAATTCTCGCATAACTCTCAGATGAATATTTGAGATAATTCAGATTTTGTTCAAGTGTTTTTTATGCCACACTGTGATTTGCACATGCCTTCACAGACGGCAGGTAATCAGAGCTGCTTGAGAGTGTGGGCAGTGCCGCTTGATTAACCCGGTCTCATCGTTTAAGAAGCAGCAAATGAATCCCAATCAGATCCCCGAGACGACGCTAAGAGCCGCTAACATGTAGTGGAAGCACCAAACTGAATCACTATTACAGATTTTACCTTTTAAAGCCCAAATCCTCCCAACATGTCGGGCTCAGCTGCTTGGATTAAACAGAAGACACTAAAGATAGGAATACTTAATTTTTAAAACCATTTATTTTTCTGAACATGCAGGAATTTAGTAGATTTTAGAATAGGGTTGTTCAAAGTGCGGCTCAGGGACCATTTGTGGCCCTTGGACTGATATTTCTGTGGTTCAAGAATGATTGAAATTTGTGGACTTTTTATTGTTAATCAGAATTATTACCAACATAATAAAAGTATTTTTCTATCCAGATACTGAACGCAGTTTATTTAATTGATGAAACATAGCTAAATATAGCAAGAATTTTGGAAGAAAGTGACTCAAATCTTTTATTAAAACTGAAAATACATATATTCAACCAAACCTAAAAGAATTTTAAAAACATCTTTCTTTTCATGCAGCAAAATCCTATAAAGCCTTTTATTTTGAAAATAAGTAACGGCTCTTTCCAAAAACTAGAAAATCCGGCTGTTTTATTTGTGTTTTCAGTAACTGCAACGTTATGAAAGGACCAATAAACATAAAAACTTATCGGTTTTATGGATGGCAGCAGAACTGATCGGACAGATTAACCCTGACGCAAAACTTTTCTCTTTCATTTATTTATTCTAAAAATGTGTACAAAACCATTTTAAAGAGACACAATTGAAGATATATTGATAGATTTCGACCTTTAGTCAGCCATTCATAACATTCATTATCAGTTCCTTTCATAGTTTCTGTTTTTGTTTGAATCTTTATTGTGTCTGAATTTTGCTCAGTATAATTTAACTCAGCTAATTAAAATGGCAGACAATTTGCTGATTCATCTTTCATTATATGTAAAGAAAATGTCTTTGGGGTGAATTTATATTCCAGCCTAAACAGAAACCACAGTAACAGGTTCTACACGGCCCTGTTAGGTAGTTAAACGTGATGATTTAGGAGTTTTATCCTCCTTTGGTTTGTTTTTCGAATAAAATAAGCAATAGAAATTCAGCTCAGATTCCATTTCAACCAGATGTTTCGTCCAAAAAAAGAAACATCTCTGCCATATGGAAGCTATTTGTAGGAAATAAAATCCTTCTTTGAACAGAAATGAAGGATTATCATCCTTACATTACCTGCATGTCCAAACGAAAAATATCCAACATTCTTGGGGTTTTTTTCAAATAGGGGAGAACGTTTGCATCGGCGCCGATTATGTTCCAGAGAAGAGACGATGCCTCAGATGGAGGACAGACATGTGATTGATAAATAAATCATCAGGGGCGTCTGCCACAACTAATCAGCTGTCACAGCCTGGGAGTGACACTTTAAAACGGAAACACAAATGTGTGTGACTGACACAAACTTTTTGGGATTATTTCTGTCTGTTCTGCAGCCGCCGCCTCCGCCATCTGATGGGGAGAAAGTGGAAGCAAGAGAAGCTGCCTTGGAAAAAAGGGAAAAGTTTCTGGCGTCTTCTTTCTTTCCGCCATCTGTTGCTGGCTTCTGCCTTTGTTTGAATTCATCTCTTTACTCTTTCATCTCAAAGCTGCAGCCTGTGAGACACAGCCATACAGGTGACTGCCTGCTTTGATCAATTATAGCTGCTGCTGCAGGCGGCCTGGGGCTCAGGCTCATCGCTTAAACCATCATTTGTGCAGAGATCTAAAACTTAATGTACCCTTGTAAATGCCAGATTCCTGAAACCAGGTCATGATTTTTATAACTTTTTCCACCTACATGGTGAAAAATGTCCTGATTGGGCCGATGTTCTTTTGATAATGAAAGGATTCAAATTACAAGATTAGAAAATGTTCACATTCATCTATTATATCCACAGACTTTACAGAAGTATGTTTTATGGTCAGATGAAACCAGATTAGACATTAAAACATGGCAGTGGCAGCAGCATGCTGTGGTGTTTCTTTACCTTCAGTTATTAAAGCTAGAAACTAGAGATCAGGCCTGGTGTGGTGATGGACTCTGACCTGAACCTTCAGAGACACATAAAGGCAGTTATAAAGCCAGCCTTCTGTCGCCTGAAGAACATTTCTATGGAGAAGCAGCATTCAGCAGAAAACCTGGACCAAACCTCCAGAAAACTGTAAAACAGCCGAAACACTGACTTATTTAAATCCAGACCAAAAACCCAGCTGTTCAGAGTTGCTTCAGAACCACAACAAACAGAAAACAGTGTTTCCATTACAGTTTTGTTAAATAAATCTATTTCCACATGGCTGAAAAACCACTTCATCTGAATGCAGAACATTTTTATCAAAAAATTTGAGTCTTTACTTCTTTTTATTTTACTTATTTATTTTTCTGTGTTTCCATTTAGCAAATTAAATCCCAATTTGCGTAATGAAAACGCAGAGAGTAAAGTGGCAACAGGAAAGTCTGGGAGGAAACACTGAAGCGCGTCTCCTGAAGATGCAGATGCTTTCGGAGTTGGTTGTGACGGGCGCAGATGGATCATGTCATGATTAGAAAACACGGCGGCTGGAAAAACGCCTCTGAAACATGGGACTGTGGCGGCGAGGGCTTGAATCTGACCGGAACCTGACAGGTGAACAGCTGAACCTAATTGGGTCAGACGCTGCATCGCCAACCTGCTGGTTAATATTTCATAAAGTCATCTTCTGTCTTTGTGTTTTACTTCGAGGAACACCATTGATTTCAGAGTAAGCTGTCTGGAGGCTGAAGAAATATTGGCTTCACTCATAACATCAAGATTTAATGAAGAGTGCAGGAGAACATGACAGCTGGAGGGAGGAGAAGCATCGGCTCGGCCCATTTGGGTTGAAAAAAGGAGGAAAGTTTTGCCAAAAATGTATTTTGGAAAAAAAATTCTGGGAAAAAAATTATTTTGAGATTTAATCTCTTATTTAAAAAATAAAACTTTCAAATTTATGAGTCTGCAAAACATTTATTAGAAAAAAACTGAGTTTTCTGAGTTTTCAAAGTCAAAAGTGTGCAGGAAATGTAAAACAATTTTAAGATTAATCTTAAAATTCTAGAAAAAAAAAGTTTTCCAAGTAAAAACAGTCAAAAATGTTCAACTTTTTGAACTCAAAAAAATTGCGAAACTCAACAAATTTTCACCTTTGTGACTCAGAAAAGTGTAAGTTTTTGTCAAGAAAATGTATTTGTAGCAGATGTTTGAATTTTCAAGGTCAAAAATTGTTTTTCTAGAGAATTTCTGAGATGAATCTCATTATTTCTGAGATTTTCTACCAAATCTTTTGACTTTTCAAATTCAAAAATGTCCTTGTTCTTCATAGAAAATTTCTGAGATATTTGGCAAAATATGACTTTTGTTTCTATGTAAAATGGGCATCAGATACTGGAAACACAGAAGAGAATAATGTGGAGTAACACTGAAAAGAAAAACGAAAAGTTGAGATAAAGTGATTAAAGAAGCACAAAAGGATAGAAAAAATATTTGACCATGAAGTAAAAATCTGAAGGACATTTAAGAATCGTGACAGAAACATATTAGAAATCTAAAAGCTAATCATTTTATTTCTGGAAGAAAAAGATTGTTTTTCATTTCAGTGGGGAAGGTTACACATTTCTATAACTGTGTATTCTCTGTATTTATCGGTATCCAGTTTAAAATAGTTTTCTTGCTCTAAGATGCCTCTGCAGCCGTTCACCAGGAGAAAATACTTTTCATTCTGAAAACTCAGTTTTATCATAAAACGTGCAACAAAAGCAAACTTTTGAAATTCACTACATCCCATAAAAAAGAAAAGCGAACAGCAAGGAGGTGAAAACATGAATACTTCTTCAAATTATAAATTTAAAGCACAAATTAATTGATAAATGGACATCAGAGAGAAATGAGTTTCACATTTTAATGCTTATTTTTG